TGTTAAGGCCAAGACACCAGGTTCATTGCCTTTCAGGAACAATCAAAATTTTCAGCATTAGGTCAAGTGAGAGTCAGCGTGTACAAAAAAAAAAGGCAAGTTTAGCCCTGAACCTTAGGTCACTCTTACTTTTATTGTTGTATTGCATAGCCTTGTGTTATTTTCGTGGTGGTTATGATTAATGTTCGCTTGTTCCACAGCATTTTCGCCCTGACATTTATTGGTGAACCTTGAAGTGAACTCGACTGCACAGCAAAACCAATAGCTAAATTCAGGCCTTGGTCCAGTTTTTTTTTTTTTTTTTTTTTTTTTTTTTATAAGGATCAGTGATTTTGAAGGCTGGTATTTAAAGCTAAAGTGTGTATTTTTTCAGTGTTAAAATTCTTTCTCCTATCAAAACATTTGCTGGAACCACATACCTTCGTCCTATACTCATACTATTTCTGCCATAGAAAGATGGTAAAAAGAGTAGCATGATAGTATGTGGTTCTGAATTCAGCAATTGCTTAAATCTTTTTGAACATTTGAACCAATGGCATGAGTTTTGGGGCAGGACTATCTGTTTTTCTGACCAATGGCAGGTCGGGGGAGTGTTTGGGAAACCAATTTCTAGTGCCAAAGAAACCATAATTAAATATATAAGTGACCATGGAAGAGCAACAAGCCCGGACATGTTGCGGCACTTTGAAAGGGCTTGAAATTGTGCAGGCAACATGTGGACAAAGAGACACAACCCTGTCAAAAATCTGTTCTCAATCTGAGAACATTTCATTTATTCACACTCCTGTTGACAAGTAATGGAAAAACAATTCCCCACATCTAGATTCAGTACACATGATGTAGTGCATGACAGCATGCAGTATGATCGTGCTTATGGAGAGTGCTTGCATCAGGTTATTGTATTGATGTACTGGGGCTAAACAAGCATTTTGTTGACACAGTTTGTCATAACACATGTCATCCATGGCTGGGTCCTGCTGAAGGGCTCATTAGTTACACATACACACAGCTCTCTGTGATATATGTGCCTGTTATTTCAAATGCATTATTTATTTTTGTACCTGAAAATAGAGAAGAATGAGATGCATTTATTTAGCTTGGAGGATCAACCCAAGGTTGGTACTAATGGAGAATTTAATTATGTTGCGAAAGGTAGACATTTCCCTGCAGGGTGAACTCTGTCAGCGTTGTTTTGTGTAGTCAAACTCCCACTGCCTGATTCCCACAGAACAAGTCAGTGGCATATTGCTGCCGAAAACCTCTTTGAGGAGTAATTCTTTGTCCCTAAAGAGGAATTTTAATTTAGCACAAAAGCACATGCATAAGCAATGGCAGCAGAGATGGTTGAATCTCTATGGTGATGCTGTGTAATCACAGATACTGATGTGGGAATACTGTGCATATGTGATGCATGTTGAAAAATGACAAAGTGGGGGAGGGGCTGTGCTTGCAGGTGCTCACGGCGTTCTAGAAGTTGCATCTTATTTATATAGTATAATTAGGTTTATAATTAACGGTTAAGTTTGTAGTGGTGTTAGGTTGTAATAGCATCACCAAAGGAATTGCAAAAATAGTTGTTTTCAAACAGGTTTCCCTAAAAGCTTCATGCAGTTTTTTTTAATCAACACTTGAATGTGGGTAAGTTTCATTAAAAAAGAAACAGAAGATGCGTAATAGCGCCCCTATATGACTGTGAAAACATGGATTGCCGGAATATTTCGCTAAGCGTTGTCATAAATGACAAAAAATAAAAAAATAAAAATTCCATTAATGGCAGGGAAAGAGTTAAGGTTTGTCAAATTAATAATTTTCACACCAAGTTCATAATGGTGAATAATGTGGGTATATGGCGTAGCCGTAGAGTCTGATTTTAATAAATTACCCCGAGTTATTATCATGACTGATATGCTCAATTTGCTTGTTTGTTTACAATCTATTTAGTATGCTTGGATTATACTTGTAATGAGACAAAACTCCATTTTTGCTGCCACACATCAACAGTAATTTGCACCAAATTTCACTTATACAGAAAGTCTTTGCACTTTTTTTCTCTCTTTCTCTCTACTGATCTCTCACTCAGTCATGCATTTCATCAGTGTACTAATTGCCTCTCATTAATTTCTTGCCACATTGATTAATCAGTGCAGAGACGACATGGAAAATAGCATATGCAAATAGTTAATAGTCTCTTTTTGAATATCTGAATAGTTAACGACATGGAGAGTTAGTTATCAGTCTCTGAGTAAATCTAAGGAAGAAAATGAATTAGAATAATAACAGACTGTGACAGAGTCTATGTGGTTTCTTTTCCACAGTTAAAGCGAGATGATGGTTGTCGACGGGCGTTTTATAGACTCCTGCAGCTGTGTAGAGAAAGAGAAAGTCTGAGCTCTAAAGCAATATGCTAAATTCGGATATTTGATAGAAATGATAAGTTCTAATAATGAGAAAGTCTTCCTTTTTCAATTAGACTTCCCTGTGGCATTGTCATTGAGCACCTGCAGTGAATAGATGGGTGACAGGGTGTTTCGCCACGTGCTCAATACGAAGATAAGATGCTTTTGGGGTTGTGAATGGGAGCGTGAGTCAGATATTGTGTTTTTGCTCACACATAATACCCTGAAGAATCTTTTCTGATTGCTTGACACTTCCCAGGTGGGATTTCACTATGTTATGATCTCATACTTTTATTCCTTTTGGATTCACGGTGTTAAGAAACTCATAGTGTGACTCCCTTACAAATGCGCCATATAAAAGACTGTAGTCTAGCGTTGTTTCATTGGGCTTTTATTGTTATTTAGATCCTTTGTTACCACAGTCAGTTTTCCAAACAAGCGTTGGCACATTTTGGGTTGACGTAATGCTGTTTGTGTGTGCATGTGCCTGTAGCTGTTGCATTTTCCACTGTTTGGTTGTATGGCCAAGAGGTTCTCATCCAATTCTTATCTCACATGCCACATGTGTTAAACACACACACACATGCAGTCTTATCACTTCTTTGTGCTTATCTCCCCTGTGCAAAATCATTCAGTTGGGAGAAAATAAACAAGCCTCTAGATATGTGTCACCTGACGAGAACTGACCCAAATATGACAGCTCTGACAATAAACACACAAATTTTACCCTCCGCCACTGATGTTAGCTGTGATTCTGTCCTCCACTTCAGCATTCAGATGTACTACATGGTCCTCTTGAGGCAGAGCTGGTATTATAAGTCTGAAATCAATATGACGGGTCTGAGGTGACTGCGGTACGTTCCAGCTCCAGACCTTGTTATCAAACCCAGTTGGCACCTGACCTTTTCAGAGTCATGTATTGAGGAGGAATGTGGAGGTGGGTTGGTGAAGCTTTGTTGGTGTGCGACGGCCACGTTTCATTGACGTTAATGACCTTTAAAGTCATATCGCTGTGGATCAACGTTCACCGACATGAACTTCAGAGTTTCTTCACCTGCTAATCTTTTAGACAAGATATAGAAATCAATTGGCTGTTTCTACTCTGGTGGCTATTCAGGGACTATGCCTGATTTCATACCACTTTCTTTGGAAGTAAAAACTGTTATGTGAATAAAAGAAGTAGCCAGCCTTGAAAACCAACCATGGCATGCTTATTTTCGGTAAAATTTATGCTTAAAGTCCAGTGATTTTAGTGACTTTGTTATGTATCTTAAGAGTTATATCTCAGTGGAATTGGTACTGGTTTCTCATTATTTTGTTGGTGTGATGTTTTGGTTTCCTTTATTTCTTCACCAGACCTTTTGGTTGTGCCTAAATACATTTAACTTTAACCAAACACAAGTTTCATTCTCAGAGTTGAGGATCACATCTGTTGAGTTTGCACTGTTGGACTGTTCCCTAGTTGCCGCCGGATTAATTGGCCCATCTGGTGAGAATCGTGAGATCCAACTTGCTCTTCAGTCTTCCCGTAAGGAACAGTGCAGGATGCAAGTGTGACTTGATGAATGTCTGAGAGCAAAGGTTCCTGTCATGTTGTGTCGAATGTTGAGGTTGCTCAACAGCAGTTGTACCTGACAGCCTGAGGTGCCAAATGCTATGCGCTCCCCTAAAACAAAAGAAGAGATGAAAAAGGTCTAAAGGCCACCCTTTGTTGTTGGCACACTCAAGCAATGAGAAATGAGGACAAGGAATCCTAAGGAAGCCCTGCATAATTAGACTAGTTTCTTGTTCTGCCTCACAGGAAGCACATAGCTTAAGGAAAACTGCTCAGTCTAAAATAAATCATATCCACTTGCACTCTCACTGTGGACAATGTGACCTATTTTTTTATTAGCTAATGGACCCAAAATAAGTTGACCTGTACGTTCAAATCTTATTGCATTGCATTGCAAAATACTAAGGCTATTCGGGGACCAAATAAAGGTTTGATATCCCTGTCTGTTCACTAAGTTTAAATCAATTTTATGTATCTTTTATCTGGTTTATCTCTTCTCTTTCTGGTCTCGTTCTGACACACTTTGACTAATTTCTAACTTGTCATTGATTTTTGTTGGGTTTGTGGACCAGTAAAGTAAGTTCACACGTGGAAGACTAATCACAAAAATATTTTTCAGCAGCAGCATGTAGGGTATTGATGTGTCATTTATATCGCAGACCTACAGCATAAAGGTAAAGGGGTTTGTGTGTTCCCTTGGGTATGATTCTGTCTTAAATAAATGGTTGAAAGGCTGAGTATTTTAAGCTTATAACAAGCTCATTTAATTGGTCTGGCAGTGAACCTGCTGATGCGGGTGAGTGAATTCTGATGGGGCGGCTTTGACAGGTGTCAGGTGCCACATGTCAGATGTCACTATGATTACGCAGACTGTTTGGTCACTTATGAAATCCATATATCAGAGCTACATACACAAGCTCATTTAAGAATCTGGAACTCTCTTGAAAAAAGCATTAATTTATGAATAAAAAAACAATATAATGATTTTTAAAAATGGTTTGGAATAGTGAATAAATCTATAGCGATTTGTGGTTTTCTCTTCTCTTTAGGTGAATGGACGTGAATTTTCCAAGTCTGGACATGAGGGAACGGTGGAGGCCATGCGAAAGGAACCAATTGTGGTGCAGGTGCTGAGGCGGGGACCCTCCGGCCGGAACCAGAACAGCCTACAGGAAGTGTGTGTGGTGGACGTGTGTACTCAGACGGACATCACCTTTGAGCACATCATGGCTCTGGCAAAGATGAGACCCACTACCCCACCTGTGCCAGACATCTGCCCATTCCTGCTGTCGGACAGGTACAGTATGCTGCCAACACTGTTAATTACATTTAGATTCAGACCTAATCCTCTTCCTGTAAAGTTAATTGTACTATTTATATGTCATTACTGCAAGAAATTATATTATGAATTTACATATATATATATATATATATATATATATATATATATATATATATATATATATATATATATATATATGATTTATTTATTTATTTCAGTTATTTTGTATAAAAAAAATTCACTCTACCTCAAGGAGTGATGCTTTCCTAGCCAGATGACTATGCATACTAACATCAGCACAAGGATATTATAAAATATTTCTTCATCACCAGGCAACAGCCATAACCCCCTTCCCCCCTACCCCCCAACACGAAATATCCCCCACTGCTGTCATAAAAGTCGCGCCAGGGCCTATGTGTAATTATTGTAGTGGCTTCCCTTATCCATTTCCTGTAATGAGTAGTATACAGGGTGATTAAAACCTAATGGAGTGCTAAAATATCAAACATGCTGGCACAGAGGTTTCTCTTGGTGTTTAATGCCCTTTTACAGCTTTTCAACTGCTTGAGTTTGTCCAATAAGACTTGTGTCTGGGGATGATAGGCCACATCTGATTATTTGGCTCCTTATGCATGTGCTTTGCTTTGGGTTTATTTATGCTGCTAATCTGTTTGTCTGGCTACAACTCAGCAAAATCAAAGATTTAGCTCATTTGTGTGTGTGTGTGTGTGTGTGTGTGTGTGTGTGTGTGTGTGTGTGTGTGTGTGCTTTGCACAGATTGCTTAGGATCTTGGAATGGCATTTGCAATTGTACCCCAGCATGATGTGTTAACAGATTAATGAGTATTGTTTGTAATTACATGCTTCCCCAGACTACAAACAAATTCTGTTATCTTCTTAGAAGTGTAACGTGTCGGTCTGTAGTTCTACAAATAAAATTGCAGAAATAAACCTTAGCCTATAGTGCATAAAGTTAATTTCTCTTGTTCTCTCTTTCTCTAGTTGTCATTCCATTCAGACTATGGAGCATGAATATTATGATTGTCCAGAATATGTGGCCAGCACCCAGGCAGAGGTGGACAGGGCAGTTGAATTCGAGTGTGAGGTAAGTGAAAGAAAAATGCTTTTTTTTTTTTTAAGTGATACACACTTTGGGCCCTATCTTGCACTCGGCGCAAATGACTTTGTGCACTGACGCATGTATCATTCCTATTTTGCACCCGCGCAAAGCGGACTTTTCCCTCCACAGACACACGTCGGTTAACTAAGAAATACACTTGCGCTCCCCGGGGCGGTTCAGCGCAAAGAGGAGGCGTGTTCCGGCGCAAACTTTCCCTCATGCTATTTTGCTGTTCTATAAAACAATTGCGCCACTGACCAGAAAAAAACTAGTCTAAAGTCAGTGGGGCGTTGCGGGTTGTTCATTATGCTATTTTAAGGGCGCATGCTTGGCCATAATCAATGTAGCGTGTGCACAACGCGCATACACTTTGATTCTCTCATCTAAGCAGCAGTTTTCATTTTTGCAAATCATACATTATTACGATAGATAGATAGATAGATATATAGATAGATAGATAGATAGATAGATAGTGTCACGAACACACACAGGACGAGGGAAAATCCAAGTGCAGTAATTTATTAAGAGGGCAATCCAATATCGTTGTAATCCATGCAGAGGTCAAATATCCAGAGAAGCAATCCAAAAACAAGAACGGGTATAAACAGACAAGAAGTGTGGGGACACCAAACAACGACTCCGTGACACATAAAGACACAGACAGGGAATATATACACAAGATCTAACAAGGACTAACAAGAAACAGCTGGTTACAATGAACGGGGAACAGGTGAGTGCAATAACAGTGATGGGTACAGACTAGGATTGTGGGGAATGTAGTTCAAGAAGGGATGACACCGTGGGGAAGAGGACCTCTAGAGGATACCCGGGGAAACACACCCAGACACTGTGACATAACCCCCCCTCTACGGAGCGGCTACCAGACGCTCCACGACATTGTACAAGATAACACAAAACTTCAGGAGGGAGGTGGAACGGTGGAGGATCAGGGGGAGGGATGGTGGGCCAGGTCCATGAAGGGAAACAGGAACAGGGGGTGAGGGTTTAACCGGGAACCAGGGTGAAACAGAAAGTCCATCGGGCGGCCAGGGCGAAACAGAGTCCATCGGGCGGCCAGGGCGAAACAGACAGCCCATCGGGCGGCCAGGGCGAAACAGACAGCCCATCGGGCGGCCAGGGCGGTGAAGGCCCCTCGGGCGGCCAGGGCGGTGAAGGCCCCTCGGGTGGCCAGGGCGGTGAAGGCCCCTCGGGCGGCCAGGGCGGAGACGGGCCATCGGGCGGCCAGGGCGGTGAAGGCCCCTCGGGCGGCCAGGGCGGTGAAGGCCCCTCGGGCGGCCAGGGCGGTGAAGGCCCCTCGGGCGGCCAGGGCGGAGAAGGCCCCTCGGGCGGCCAGGGCGGTGAAGGCCCCTCGGGCGGCCAGGGTGGTGGAACAGGAGCAGACACCGGCTCAGGAACTGCAGCAGGCACCGGCTCAGGAACTGCAGCAGGTACCGGCTCAGGAACTGCACCAGGCACCGGCTCAGGAACTGCACCAGGCACCGGCTCAGGAACTGCAGCAGGCACCGGCTCAGGAACTGCAGCAGGCACCGGCTCAGGAACTGCAGCAGGCACCGGCTCCGGCTCAGGAGCAGCAGGCACCGGCTCCGGCTCAGGAGCAGCAGCAGGCTCCGGCTCAGGAGCAGCAGCAGGCACCGGCTCAGGAACTGCAGCAGGCACCGGCTCAGGAACTGCAGCAGGCACCGGCTCAGGAGCAGCAGCAGACACTGGCTCAGGAGCAGCAGCAGACACCAGCTCAGGAGCAGCAGACACTGGTTCCGGCTCGAGAACAGCGGACACTGGCTCTGGCTCAGGAACAGCAGACACTGGCTCCGGCTCGGGAACAGCAGACACTGGCATGTCCAGTATCCGAGCCAGACGCTCCAAATAATCCATCATAGCCCTCGTGGCCACGCTAATAGGCATCTCCTGATCTGTCTCAGACCGGGTAGATGTGTCGTGATCCGTCTCTGGCTGTGCAGACGGGACGTGAACAGTCTCTGGCTGGGCAGACGGGACGTGAACAGTCTCTGGCTGGGCAGACGGGACGTGAACAGTCTCTGGCTGGGCAGACGGGACGTGAACAGTCTCTGGCTGGGCAGACGGGACGTGAACAGTCTCTGGCTGGGCAGACGGGACGTGAACAGTCTCTGGCTGGGCAGACGGGACGTGAACAGTCTCTGGCTGGGCAGAGTCTCTGGCTGGGCAGACGGGACGGGAACAGTCTCTGACTGGGCAGACGCAGGTCTCCTCCTCCTCCGTCCTTTCTGACGGATGTGTGCCGACTCTGAACTGGACGAAACCATCGATGAAGTCCCAGCGCTCGATGAGACCCGTGGTGAAGCTTCAACTGTCCTGATTTCCTCATGCCTTTGTGCACATCTAGAAAAATACTCTAGTAAAGAGATCCCATTCTCTCTCTCTGCAGGAGAAAGTTCGCTACGTGGAATCCACATAGTGACTGGGGACGAGATTTACAAAAAAAAATAAAAAATGAAAATTACCGCTGGATTTAAGTGACGGAGTCGTTCTGTCACGAACACACACAGGACGAGGGAAAATCCAAGTGCAGTAATTTATTAAGAGGGCAATCCAATATCGTTGTAATCCATGCAGAGGTCAAATATCCAGAGAAGCAATCCAAAAACAAGAACGGGTATAAACAGACAAGAAGTGTGGGGACACCAAACAACGACTCCGTGACACATAAAGACACAGACAGGGAATATATACACAAGATCTAACAAGGACTAACAAGAAACAGCTGGTTACAATGAACGGGGAACAGGTGAGTGCAATAACAGTGATGGGTACAGACTAGGATTGTGGGGAATGTAGTTCAAGAAGGGATGACACCGTGGGGAAGAGGACCTCTAGAGGATACCCGGGGAAACACACCCAGACACTGTGACAGATAGATAGATAGATAGACAAATTATTATAAAAGCATACATGTAGCTTACACATTTACCCAAATTATCATACGCCTGTTTAACAGAAGTTAATTTGGGTGGGTTTCTCCATCCCCATACAATGTCACTTCTCTGTGTTTTACGGGCCTGACGAGAACGTTGCTCTCCTCGGCTGTGAACCGCTCCTGACGCGCGCCTGGCAAATCCGCCGTTATAATAGGAATCCGCTTTAGAACAAGCGCGCCTGCTCTTAAAGGGAATGTGAGATGACGCTCTGATTGGTTTATTTCACGTTACGCCCAAACCACACCTATGAATAATGAAGCTACTTCAGACCAGCCCCTTTTAGATTTGCGCCAGGCGCAAGAGGCATTTATCCCGCCGGGAAAATAGCAACAGCGCCGGGATCCGCCCACAAAGTTACTTGAGCTTTGCGCTTTGACACTTGCGTTTCAGATCGTTAAAATAGGGCCCCTGGTGTTAACAATCATCTCGGGTGACCCGATGACAAATGGTCAGCCAAGACATTTACACCTGACTTTACAAATGCAACGAACCCTGATGGCATGATTAAATACATCACTATTATACATTAATGCATGTTGATACAATGCACACAAAAAATAGTTTTACATTTTGACAAATATTAATATTCAATATTGCATGCTTTACCTAATTTACATTCATTTTATCCAAAAATTAGGTACTATTATTTTATCAGTAACACTTTACAATAAAGTCTCATTTGTTAACATCTGTTAAGCCAGTATAAGCTAACAATGAGCAAGATATTCTTAGAGCATTTGTTAATCTTTTTTAGTTAATAAAACAAATCATGTTCTTGTTAGTTTACTGACAGATACAACTTTTGATTTAAAAATGTATTAGTAAATGTTGAGATTAACATTAATTAAGATTAATAAATGCTGTATCTATGTATTGTTCAAGTTAGTTCATGTTAACTCATGTAGTTAATGATCTAATGTTAACAAATTAAGCTATATTGTACTGTTACCTTTTTATTAATAAAAGAATCTGAATTAAAATAGTTATATGATCAAATGATGTATTTGATTCATGTAATTGTGAAACTTTAAAAATAAGAGTTTCAAAAAGGCAGATTCCTTCACTGTTAATGAGTTAAAGTAGCATGTTACAGCTGGAGAGCTTTCAAACGATGCCATTTTTTCCTTTGGCTAATAAACAGGGGCATTAGACTCCACTGAGGTGTAATTAGTTTTATTTTAGTGACATTAATGTTCTTTCCTACTGGGTCTCTTGCTCATTTTGGAAAACAAATGCATGTGTGTTAATGAATCATTAATAGTATTATGATTGTTTGAAGGTACAAAAACAGCTTGTCACCAGATGTTTCCGTGAGATTTTGGGATGTATGCATGATGAAATTTTTTTTCTGTAGGCGATTGGAAAATCAAAATTGCACAGTGCAGAGGTTGCTATGTGAAGTATGCATAAGCAGTGATAAATGTCTGGATGAACCCCTTCCATGCAAGATAACTTCTGTCAATCCCAAGCAAATTTTTCATATCAGGCCAAGAGGAAACTAACCTTAGCTTTCTGAATACGGAACATATCCTAGATTAATATGATCTGTAAAATTATCACTATGATTTTCCAGTTCCATCACTTGCCGCAGTAGGTTAAGGTAGATTGTGTGGATTATTTTGCTCGGCATGTCGGTTGATCCTCTTTGATGAGCATTGTCTGAACAATAGACTTGCAGAAAATATGAAGTATCGCTGAGCTTATGGAGCAGATCAATATGAAGCCGTATTAAAGCTTCTGGTGATGAATTGCATCCATTGTGCGGACTGACAGATTCAGCTGAAATATGAGAAAGAGTTAGCCTTTTTATATCACACCACAGACGTTGCTGTGAGCATGTTGGTCTCGCATTTTTAGAAATTATTTGCCAAATACGAACACTTGACAGTTCGGTGTATATGGTTGTGGAAGAAAATGGAAAACCCTATAAATATATGGATGGAGTAGTAAATCTGGTTAATGTGGAGGGTAGAGTTTTTGATGTTTGTTGCCAGTGCTCGGTCAGGAGCGTCGACCAATAAATGAGCCGTTTTGCTTGACTGAACTGAGACAGGTGTCAGTGGTATGTTGAGCTGTGGCTAACTGCTCTCCTTTGGCCGGTGAATGTCTCTCGAACACAGCGCTGTCACTTGCACCATGCAGGCTTCAGTCTTGACATATAACCCCCTCAGCCTGCTTGATTATATCATATTTCATGGTGGCCTTTTGGAGGACACATTTGTAGCCAAAGGAACTGGTCATTGTTTCATTTTAATGCAAAGCCAAACATTTAAGATGACTTTACTACTCTAAAACAATGCTATCCGTGCTGGAGTTTAGAAGCTATAGGTGGCTTTTATGTTTTAAGTAATAAACTGAACTGAAGAGAAATGTACGGAGTTGAGCTATTTTCTAGTTGCTTTCACAAGAAAATATCTGCCTGGAAAATCAGCATAATAGTCTGAGCTTTGTACTGGTTTAATGTACACATTGGGAGGACCAAATGTGCCAACAAGAATAGTAAAACCTGAGATCACCTACATCATGGTCCCAACGAGGGAAATGGATTAATAAACATACTAAATTATGCTAATTTAAAAATGTAAAAATGCAAAAAGGTTTCTCTGATGGGTAGGTTTAGGGGATAGAAAATGCAGTTTGTACTGTATAAAAATCAAAATGTCTTTGGGGAGTCCCCACAAAGATAACGAAACCTAACGCGCGTGTGTGTTGTGTGTTTGTTACAGGAGGTTGAGCTCTGTCGAATGAACAGCCAGGAAAAACTGGGCCTGACTCTCTGTTATCGTACTGATGATGAAGAAGATACAGCCATTTTTGTTGGTCAGGTGGGTATTTTATTTTATTTTATTTTATTTAATTTTTTATTTTATTTTATTTTATTTATTTATTTATTTATTTATTTATTTATTTATTTATTTATTTATTTTTTTTTTTTTTTTTTTTTTATGCATTTACGTTTATTGCTGAAAAAAAAAATCATACAAATCGGGGGTTTTAAATTTACGTAGATGTTTCCAAAATGTTTGGTGTCTGGGTTGTAAAACTGGACAAAGATAGACAATATAATAGGTAATGTCGTTGAAGTTCAACATTTCCTGAAGGTTAATCATCTCCTTTCATAGACCAAGTGTTGAAAAGGAAAAAAATTGACTTAGTTTCAGACTCTGTGGATTTTTATGCAGCAGTTCAATTTAACAGACAAAGATCTACTGAAAATGAACCGAATAATGCTTTTAGAACAAATGTTATTATGTTAATTTAGTGATCTGTGTTGAAGTCACCTGTAAGATGTGGCACTTAGCATCAAATTTGATGCAGGCAATCAAATTAATCGGACCAAACCCTTTTTAACATCAATTTAAATTTTGTGAAAAGCAATTAAAAGATAAAAGCTGAGTTTGATCCATTCTCATTGTTCCACATCACTGTATTCCTTCACTGAAATTAAAAGTGTTTAATATGGAAAATGTTCCTGTTTTCCAAAGTTCAAATGGCTGACGAAAGTCTACGAGGACTGAGTCAAGCATGAAGAGATCAAGTCAAGTTTGGAAAATGATTCTGCTTACAGACAGTTCTTTTTTTCAGTGTTTTAATTGCTGATTTTAATTAGTAAGAAATATAATTAAAATCCCCCCCCCCCCCCTGTCTCCTGTGGAGTGTAAAATGGCACTTTTTTCACTCTCACCACCTTGACACCTAAAGGAAAACAAAGGCTGAAAACAGAGACTGTATTTCAACAGGGAGAATTCTAGTAGTTGTACAGATATTGCCTGTTCTTACACCATTTCTCGCTCAGAGATATGTAAATGTGGAGCCCCTGACATCAAACAGGAGGGAACTGCTTCTCCTTTTCGTATCAGTTCCAGAAAATGTATTATGAACAACCTGCAGAAATGTTCTATTAATACATGTCTGTGGAAGTAAGTTATGCTAATATTAGTCATTAAAAATGCATTTATGCATATAATGTACAGCAATGATGTTTTCAGCCTCCTTCTTATGTAAATTCTTATAATGCATAAAAAATATGGTTGTTTTAATCAGTAATCTTGTAAAAATGCTAAATAAATAAATATGTATTAATTTGAGGGGAAAAAGAAACATATTCCCAGATCCACATTACATATTCTGTGCAGTATTCACTTCCAATCCTTATATTATATGGGGGCATTATGTTGCCTTCTTTTGTAAATAGTCTGAAAGGAATCGATTTTTTCTCATTATAACAGATATGCAAATTAATCTGTTACAATAATGAATTCTTTTTGTGACAAGTCATGGAATTATTGCTGGTGTGTTGAGATGAATTATAACAATTTACATATTGATGCCATGTTTTTTGTACTGTTGATAGGTTGAACTCAACAGCATAGCTGCAAGGGATGGACGCATCAGAGAGGGAGACAGAATTTTACAGGTGCGATACATTTAATCTTGTTACACACCTATACACACGCTCATTCACGCTTACAACCATCCTGAATCCAGATGATGTTTTTGATTATTTATTTGGTAGATACAGTGGGTCTAAAAAGCTAAACACATTGAATTGGATTTTTTATTAGATTTTTATTTACATGTGTCTTGTAAATAAACTGGATCATCATGATAAATTGCTCTTAAATAGCCGTTTTAACTGGATCTGCTTTTGCAGAATGTATAGACCAAGCTGGTGTGACATTCAGCAGAGACAGTAGGGTTAAAGGTTTGGAGAATTTCTGAGCAAAAGAAGATAAAGAAAGAACGAGATACAAAGGACGCAAGGCATCTGTGGATGTAGCATTTGAGGGAGATGAATACAGTGGTTCAGTGCACGTCTGTCTCACTCTCTCCACCCCTATTATCTTCTTTTGACAGTGCCATTACTCTATAGAAGAAAAGATGAACGGCACCTGTCAGAGGCTGCTTAATTGTGTGTCTGGGCGTGTACCGCCACAACGCTTTTTACAAATGCTGTGGCTCCTGCAGCCCAGTCGACAGTCTTAGTAATCGATTCAATGTCTCTCCCCCAGTAAATGCATAATTGACTGAAGGTTGTTATCTCATGAGGGGGGCCTAGTTTTGGTGTGTATGAGGAAATGCAATTTTGCTCCACTTCTGTCACTGATGAAGTGTGCTTCCGGTGTGAAAATCCTGACACCCTGTCATTATCTTTGTGTGTATGTAATTGTCTCTCTGTGTCCATGTTTCTTCCAGATAAATGGTCATGACGTACAGAACAGGGAAGAGGCTGTTGCTCTCCTTTCAAATGAAAATTCTAGATCCATAGTGTTACTCGTCACCAGACCTGAAGGGCAGGTGAGACTAGTGGACATAGTTGCTAATCTTAACCCACAGTTTTATTTGTGTGGCTTTATTTATTTATTTATTTATTTTGAGCCAATCACCTGAGCCATAAATGCCATGTTCTCTAAAACCATGTGAAATGATATCAATAAAATGTTGATTGGCTGATGGTTAAACCCTTCAATAGTGACTACAGTATACCCAGTTGTGATGTCAAAGGCAGAAAACATAAATAGTCAGAAGTAACCGAAGTATAATGAGATATCTCTGATTAATATGTCGCTTGCAAAAATATGTATTCCACCAGATCACACACCTCTTTTTGAATGGCTGTCAAAGGATAAAGATGCGTTTTGCAGCCAAATAGTGTAGCTATGGCATCTACTAGCTGACACTAACTGAGTCATGGTAACCAGCCAAATGGTTAATCCAGAACTGGTTAACCCTGTTGGGCTTGTCTCTCCTAGATGGATGGAAGCTGGCTCGATGAGGACCATCATGATTTTCTAGAGGAGCTGAAGATGGAGATTTTAGAAGAACAGAAAAAGGACGCAAAGTGGGTAAGTGTGACCATACTTGCCAAAAGTTCCTTTGCACCCATTCTTTATGTTCTGACAGGCATTAAAGGGTTGTATCTGTTCATGTTTTGCAGTCAAAAAGACATGATGAAGCCTCCGCAAGTACAGATACAGCAACATGTTCCTCTTCCATTCTGGAGAAGGACAGTGGTGTGAAATGCAGCTTTGAGGAGAGTTCTGAATATGAATTTCTCTCTCATCCCCAAACACAGACTCAAAAACAACTTCGAGACAGGTGGGAAGCGGGCTCACATTTGGTTCCTATGGACACCGTTAGCTTAGCCAGGCAGGAGAAGGGTCAGGAGGGCAGGCTGAGCGAGAATGGGCTGGAATGTGACCATTTCCAGCAACTCTTGGAGCTAAAGTGCCAGATCCGTAATGGTGGAGAATGCGGGTTGGTCTACAGGCGAAGTAGTACCATCGAGTGCAGCCTGACGGAACAGAGTGGAAGTGGAGTGGCACGGGAGCTGCACATGCTCAACGAAGAGCTGCGCAGCATTGAACTTGAGTGCCAGAGCATCATGCAAGCCCACCAGTTGCGCCGAAGCAAGCATGACTCGCCCCGAACGGATAAGGAAAGTCGACTGCGCCGTGGCAAGCTTGCAGATATTAACGAGTATCCTGAGAGACTTCAAAGTGAGAAGCTCAGAGATAAAGACAGCTCTAGTGCCTACAATACAGCCGAAAGTTCCCGCTCAACTCCACTGGGAACAGAAGGATCACCCGACCACTCGCTACAGCGTCGAGTCCACCTGACCAATCAGAGGAACTTGCGGAGTACCCAACACCTGCAGAGTCCCTACAATAGTCCCATCTTGTCTTTACCCAGCCAAAGTAGCCCTTCTTACAGTCGTGGCCATACATACACCAGCTCCACACCACCCTTACAGACCCCCATCACCAGTCCCGGTTCACAAGGACCCAGCCAGGCCTTCTCCAGCAGCTTGGAACAAAGCCCCAGTAACCCCTCGGAGTCAGACCCAGCGCTTCCTGCTGATGACGAGCGCTGTGAGAAAGAAAGAAACCGTAATAGGGTTGCAACTGCTCGGCACTACCATTCGCCCTGTCACAGCAACACCACAACAACCCAGCCTCCCGGCACACGCCATTACCAGAGTTACCTACAGCTCCTACAACAACATTCCTCTTCCTCTCTGGAATACTCCCAGAGCCAGCTTAGCCTCCTCAGCCTCCGTGGACGGCCTGGACCGTCACAACCTGGCCGAATCGAATGGAAGGTTAAAGTGCGAGCAGACGGAACCAGGTATGTGGCACGTCGGCCCGCACGAGACCGTATCCTACGCGAACGAGCCTTACGGATCCGGGAGGAGCGCAGCGGTGGGATGACTACAGATGACGACGCAGTCAGCGAGCTGAAGATGGGGCGGTACTGGAGTAAAGAAGAACGCAAGCAGCAGTTAGCACGCGCAAGAGAACAGCGACGCAGGAGGGAATTCATGCAGAGGAGCCGGCTTGAGTGCCTCAGGGAGACCATGGGGACGGCAAGTGGGGAAGTCAGCATCCTGGAGCTCAGCCATAAGAAGATGCTGAAGAAACGAAACAAGAAGATCCTTGACAATTGGATGACCATTCAAGAGCTCATGAGCCATGGAGCACGAGCACCTGAGGGCACCAAAGTTCACAACGCCTTCCTTTCAGTCACCACAGTTTAGTGAAGAGCGTGAGTGACCACAGGCGGTCTCGACCCTATGTACTTGCCTCATTCCAAGTAGCCATTTTATAAAGGTGAAGATGCAGATATTTTTCATGTTTTGTGAAAACTCATTTCAACCAAACTCAAGACTTCAAGAAATGTGAATGTTCAAAAACTCTTTTGATACACTGACACGTTGACACTACCGTTACAGACCTCGCTGTGTTTTCATACTAGAATGTATAAAAATGGTTTTAATAGGATTTTACACACTACATTGTCATTTAATGTAGTGTTTTCATGCATTTGTATTTTATAAATGGCAAGTTTTCATGCGATATAAAATACAGTACTTGAATTTCGGCTTTTGCTGCCATTACATCTTTTAAATCTGAAATGTAAATATCTGTAACTGTTCTTAACAAGATCTTCATGGGTAAAGGTCTTCTTTGCCGCTTAATGGGTTTACAAGAGTTGTTTGACATACCACACGATGTTACCATTTTAATGGTATTGTATACAATACGTACAATTTTTGTACTGCTCTGTATGAACATTATTTATATTTTTGAGTCTAATAAGTTATTTTATTCCATCTTTATAATGCCAAATGACCCAGTCTGTATCTCAGTCAAGCGCTAAACATGGAGTTTCGACCACTCTCATTGTGCCTTGTATAGAGGCTCATTTTTCTACCAGTTTGTGAAGAGACACCCTGAGTAATCTTGCTGTCATGTTTTTAGTCTTTTTTTGATGTGTAAGACATCTTTGTAGCCGGGTCTACGTGTTCTAGGTGTGCTACATGGGGTAACAAAGGATAATAAATTATTGTTATATAAGTTAAACATTTTTGTTATCCTTTCTTCTCAAATAATGGTTTCCAGATTTTCTAGTTTTGTTCAGCATACAAAGATATTTGTAACTTTCGGCTTTGATTGATTACTTTTTCTTGATTGACGGCTTGACCTAATTAAGCTCGAGATCAAGAACCGCATTTCTGAGATAAACTGTGATTATATCATTAGAGTCAGACAAAATTGGCATTTGTCCGGTTCACATCTCACCCAAATACCACACCTGTCATTGTTAAACTGACATCCTGTCAGACAGTAGCATTAAAATCAGATCTGTTTGATTATAAATATATGTTCTTTGCATGAATATATGAATGGTTATCTTGCCATCAGCCCTTCAAACACTGCACTGCAAAAAAAGATCATGTTCTTAGTATTTTTACTGTTAACATTTTTTAAACAAAAGCAAAAATTTAATAAGATATTATGAAGTTTACTTATACACAATTAGCTAATTGTTTAGTCTTATTTTTGGCATATACCTCACAAAACGATGTTACATTTATGTTTAATTGACTTTATTTTCCAGTTGTGGCAAATATACTCTCTGAAAACAAGTCCTGTGCAATTTTGCTCCTCAAGGATATGTATTGTTTTAATGATATTTAGACAAGACAAATTACTCATTTTGTTGTATGACAACAAATGCTCTAAAAACCAATAATACATTAAGGATCAATTGATATTAAGTTGGTAATATGTGTAGATTATTTTTACGCAGATTGTTCTGAATGGATGAAAGCTGCCTGAGGCTGTTATAGGATGGTTTGTGTGTGAGGAAGGTTAGAGGCTTTTTGAAGTCTAATGTTTTTCATCTTTGGTATGAATGTGTGCTGCATGTAAAGACCTGTCTGTCTCTGTTTCAAAGTGATAACACTACCATAAATGTAATGAACGGGTGCCAAAAATCTTAGCTGCTTTCGCTAGAACTGATAACATTGAGACCCTTTTGAACACATTCTAATTGTACTATTGAGGCCAGTCTCCTTAATTTGAGTAAAAATGTACAATATTCTAATTGTAAGAATGTATCCATAACCACCTGTGTGATGCAGTTCTTTTGTGTTACTGATAAATCAGGGGTGCCAACTGCCAACACAAATCATGTCATGGGAGCTCTTGAGTATTTCAGCATGTAGAGGTGTGGATCCATATTCTCATCATGAATCATCTCCATTTTTAGTTGTTTTATCATTAGATTCCCATGTAGTTTCCATCTTGATGTTTTCAAACTTCCGCCTATAAGGTGAATTGTCACGTTTATGACGTTTTCCTAATTACCAGCAACAGAAATTGCTCTTATCTTGCGTTATGGCCCTGATGTGGAAAGATATTCTCTCAGACTGAATATGGCGAAAGAATGCTGTATTTTGTATGTGTGCCAGCCGTTTACCTCGTTATGGTTCTCTTTCACATTTATTTATTCATAAATGCTCATTATGTCCGACTGAGCAAAGACTTGTGAAACGGGAGAAGGGATTTCAAAGCAAGTCCCTTTTATTCCTCCTCGCTGTCTCTCTCTCTCTCTACTTTACTACAAAGAATAATGGAGAGTACTGTCAGTTTCTTTGATGTTCACACTTCACCTAGCAGAAGAGCTTTATCTATACTTTAAAATAATAGTGCACCAAAAACTGAAAAATTCTGTCATCATTTATACTTGCATACCCTCGGGGGAACAGGGGTGTATATATCATGCGGACAGCAGATAATATTGGCAAAAATTAAATAATGAACTGAATGCTGTGACTGACCAATCAGATTCAAGTATTTTAGGGAGCCATGTAATAAATATATACTTTTATGTAGATATTGTTTGAAAAAAGTATTCCACTGAAAAAAAAAAAAAAACCAGCATACAGTTTGGGAACAATATGAGTGTGAGAAAATAATGACAGCCAGAACATGAATTGTTGAGTCTAGACAGACCGAATACACGGTGTACCCGACACAACTTCTCTCCTGATATTGCCTGATGATTTTTCTTTTCTGGGGTGTATAGTGTCACTTTCCTCTTAAGTTTTTGGTGTACTTGAGCTGAACTCAGCAGTATTTGATCGTTTTTTCCCCCTCTGCAACATCCTTTTGCATGCTTTTTGAAGCTCCAGCTCTCAGAGCTCTCTAAGCCCGTTGGGAAAGCAGAGACATGAGAGAGCATGACAGAAATAATGGGGTGAATCCAAAAAACGAGGGCAGATGAACAGACAAAAGAACAGAGAGTTGACTGGGTAGGAGGAGAACAGTAGTGTGTCTTTTCTATACAGCCATCTGACTTTGGTGATGATGGACACAAAGGCTATGAAACATGAACATTTATTTTCTGGCATTTCTTATCAAGCTGTCAAACACAGAAAACCTGAGTTTGTGACCTGCTTTCAGGTCAAAGCAGGAAACTGAAATAATACTACAATGTTACACTACAATAATGTTACATGATTTCATTTGGACAACAACTGTTTTCTTGTGCACCTCAGTGTGAGTCTTCTGTTCTGAAACTACCATATTTGAGTCCTGAAACAGACAAAAACATTGTCTGGCATAATTGAAGGCTTACACTGTGAGACATCAGTGCCCATGTTGAGATTCATTGAACAACGGGTGTTAATCCCACAGTAAGCATCTGTTTGTGCATGGAGATGGAGTCAACCTGAAACTAAGGCAGTGCTCTTCCTGAACACGACAGCGACTCTAATCCTCCATGCGGCATTACGGATTCATGTTTCACATTCAGGAAAACACTGAGAACAAAAGGAATAATTTTCTGCAGGCAAGAAGGGAACATTTGTATAGACAGAAGACAGAGAGAAACCAGACGAGGACAGTTGTAGATCTTGGGAGGTTTGGTGACTTTATGTCACACTTAAAGGGTCCTAAAACGTAGGCAGCAGAAAAATGACCTGAAGCTATTCGTTGTCAATGAGAGTTGGGGATTTTAGCAACATGAAGGACAGTGACTGCATGTCCAGTGACACAGTTGAGGAAAGTTTCATTTTATGCCAGTTGTAATGCAGTGGCATTCGTTTATAACTTTGCATGTAGTGCAAAGCCCATTGAAAATCCATTCAGCCTCCACGCTCAGATCTCAGCAGGTGCAATCAACCCCCTCTCAGCCCCTCAGCTCTCATTGGTTTGTTAAGGTGCAGTTTTTAGCACAGCAAGTTTTGGCAGTCAAAAACGTGAGCACACAGGAGGACCAGCACAGTAATAATTAGCTGAGCTGACAACATGCCAGCAGCTCACACACACACACACACACACACACACACACACACACACACACACACACACACACACACACACACACACACACACACACACACACACACACACACACACACACACACACACACAAAAACACTTATCAGTCTCATTTTGTCTTCTTTTTATTCTCTTCAAAAGAATGCAACATTCAACGTATTCTTACCTCGATTTTGTTGTATTTCAAGCAATTATCCAGAGTGGAAATCTGGAGTAGTAACACGCTGATATTGATGTGTTAACTAATGTGATTTTGGTATTGTGGATCAATGCCGCTGCATCATTATTGTTCTTTTGTTTAGAATGGGTCGTGTTTTGCAGAAATTTGGCAGTTGGATGGATGTTGGTTCAGAAAGGAAACAGTAATGTTTTATGACAAAAGATCATTTCTCCCTTCCTTTACTGAAGATGCTCAGCTTTCTTCTCTTAAAATGGTGCTCAGTTCAGCTGTATTGATCCAGCACAGGTAAGAGGTTTTCTTGGCACGCCTCGTAGATCCTCTCATTGTTGTCTGACTCTTTTGTAGCTCGCCAGGCCTTAAAAATGCTCTTCAAAGATTTGCTCAAAACCCCGGAGAGAGCAAAGGATGGCAACACAGAGAACATGTTTTTTTCTTTTGCTTATCCTACAAATACAGAAATTCTTGGTTTCAATTGAATTAAATGGTCTTTTTTATGAACTCAAATCTGATAAAAACACACATCCAGGTATTTTGTTACTGTAGATGAATGCATTTGGGTAGCTGATGTCCTGTGGTGGGACATGCTGTACTCATCTAAACACCATTTTGACAGCTGACTTGTTGCCTCGCTGCCTTATCGGGCAATGACTTTGAAGGCAGCGTTTGGATACGAAAGACTTCGGACAGATTTCTGAGGCAGCATTACAGTCTAATGATCTACAACAAAATA